TCTGCAGGCTTTCTTTAATATTTTCACAATTTTTAGCTGACTTTCCTTGATTATTGCCGCGGCAGCCCTGGCATACAGTCACAACACCCCATGGTGCCTCAGCACTCAGTTTGAGAATTACTGTGTTAACGCATCGTTAGCCCCACCCCTGACGTCAGCAGCACAGCCCATCAGCTAGAGCCGGTCGTGGCATAACGCTAGGCTGGAGAGCCATGAACATTTCTAAATTAACCTCCATCACCTGGATCTAGACACCTGGATATGCAGGAGTAAATTGTAATGAAAGAGCTGACCAGCTGGCAAGTAATGCACCAATGCCAGTGGGAAGAAGCATGGTCAGAGCTGATATCATCAGGACCATACAGACTGGGCTGACAGATAAGGATGCATCGCTGAGCTAATACTATTGCTTATCCCAGGAGTAAAGCTTAGTGAAGTACGTTTATGTCGTCTCGAGGTTAAGACAGGGAACACCATAACCAGCTTCTCATGGGAACAATCAGTAGAGGTACCTTGGAGGCTGCTGCATCAGAGGACTAAGAACTGGGAATGGTCAGTGTGCAGTTGCATTGAAAGAGATAACATAACAGAACATTGCTGAATCAATAGCAGCAACAACAACGACAGTGTTGTACATGCTTGTCAGCTGTCACGACAGCTGTTGTGAGGTAAGCAGCTGTTGTGAGGTGAGCGCTTAGGCTGGCTTTGGACACACCCAGAGGGATTGGGGCCACACATATTGATATTTGAAAAGCTCTTTTATCGATCCATTTTTTTCTGGAGCATTCTCATTCATCTGTCTTGTTGCTAATAACTGACACTGTCTGCAGTGATTCTCTGCTGAATCAGCTCATGCCAAGTCGTTCTATCCTTCGCTATCACATGCAGCTCTTCTCACGTCCACCCCATCTATTTAACTTCACTCTCCATCTCCCTTCTCAATCTGTTTTTTGGTCTGCCTTTATTTCTCTGCCCCGGTGGGTTCCAGTACAAAGACATTTTAGTTATATTGTTCTCAAGTTTTCTCAACATGTGTCCTATTTAGCGCTAGTGTTTTTTTTTCCACCTCTCAGTCCATTTGAACTTGTTTAGACGCCCCCCCCCCCCCCCCCCCCCCCCCCCCCCCCCACACCCCCCCCCCCCCCCCCTATAGTTCTAGATTAGTAAAGAAGTGTAATGGTATATAATCTCTCCCCCCTTCCCCTCCCACACTCCCCACAATCTCAAATGTGGCCACAGAACCTGCACAGGGAAAACCGGCAACAATTGCTGACGGTGATTATCACATCCTGCAATGGCTATGCAAGTAAATTATTTAAACTTTATTGTTAGCTTTTTTTTTTTTACTTTATTCGCTGATATTCATGAGTGTCTATCACAGATTCAAAGTAAAAAGTTGGGGGGTGGGAAAAAGTATTGAACTTTTTCGGTACCAGAAGATTTGACCGCAAATCCCCAGATGGCACAAAAACTAGGAATGCTAGGCAGAGAGAAAACACAGCGGAATGGTCACTCGGATAGCCAGATTTTCAGAGTATGGTTCGACCAAGTATCAGATGTGAATAAAAACAGATTACTCGTTGGCTACGACTCATAGGATCATCCCGTCACACACAATGCGTTGAAGCGAACGAAAGAATAAGATTATGCTTTGTTTGGGACTGAATGAGTTGAGAGCAGTTGGGTCTACTTGTCTGCCATTTAGGGTCAAAATTAGGCCTAGATGGATCTCTTGTAAAGTTCTGGCACCCTGAATGCAGCCATGTTTTAGTACAGAAATGTGAGTTCGGATCCAGAGACTATGGATAGGTTTGGCTTTGGGGTGGACAAGTTTGTGTGGTTTTCTATGCCGGATGTTCTTGTTTACTACGAGGATGAGAGGAGTCAGCCCAGTTTCAGCGAGAATGGCTGGTTCACAGAATGGCTGAAAAGGGTGGTGAGTAGGGGTTTTCAAAGCATGGCCAGTTGAGCTAGACATTTTTAAAAATAGTTATGTTATATAATAGCCTTGAGTGGGAACCAGCTACAGTCCTGAGAAGTAAAGGCGGGTGGCCTGATGCTGACCACATCACCCACCAATTATTGTTTGGTCTATAAAATATAGGTCTAGTTCTTATACCCACTGCACCTAAAAGGTGAGTAGAAGGGTCCTTTACCTACTTTTCTATGTTGTATTATCATAATATTGTCACTGCACATTGGGTGTTCTCATTTTCCATGTGTGTTTCGGGTCCCACTGTGGAGGGTAAAATAATAGACCCACAACAAGCATGTTAAATTTTTTTTTAACTATTTAGGTGTTTCCTTTGAAGTCAGAGTGCTTCTGCCTGAGAGGCAAGGAACCAACAGCCTGCAGAGACATAATCCAGATCTGTAAAATTGATGTACACACAAAACTCAAGAATAACAAGACTAATGTCCAGAAGTTGACGAACAACCAGAACTTTCTGCTGGAGTTTACAGCTGGAGTTTACAGCTTTACAGCTGGAGTTTACAGCTGGTGAACAAGAAGAATAAGCAGAAGAAGAAGAGTGTTTTCATGAAGACCAATCCTCTGAAGCAGAGCCAGTCCCAAGGAACCTCTAGTCATTACAGTCTTGAGAAATGGTTTTCCTATTTTGTTGGTTTATGCTCTGTGGCATTGGTAGTGCCTGATCGGCAAGGAACTAGGTTCTTTATTAATATTCTCCCCAATATTACGTTTCCATACATGAAGGTCACAGGACCCGGTCCACATTTTTTTGATGCTTTTAACAACCCAAAAACATCTAGAACTGGCCCTAACCCCAACTCACCTATGTCTCACGAGAGAGTACAGCCTAGGTCCCACGAATGCATGCATCCTAGGTCCCACGACTGCATGCAGCATATCCACTGCCCCCTGAAATATTAGACTGTCCCGTGACCTGTGGATTTTCCCTGTTTGGGGTAAGAAATTAATAAAGCACTAGGAACTAACAGTAAGCATGCAAATAAGCCCATATGCCTGAGTGTCAAGGAACTAACAGTCATCATACAAATAAGCCCATAAAACCTGAGTGTCACACAAAATAACGAGTTCTGGACATGTATTAAAGTCCAGATGCCTGAGTGTCACAAACTAACAGTCGGGCATATGTACTTAAATTTATATGCTGAGTGTCAAGGAACTAACAGTCGGCATATGAATTAATCCGATATGCTAGAGGGTCATACAAATAAGCCAGATTTATAAAACATATTTTCACACAAAATTTGAGTTCTGGAACGAGACTAAAATCCAGAAGTGGACAAATAACCAGAACTTTCCACTGGAATTTACAGCTGGTGAATGCAAAGAAGAAGAAGAAGAAAAAGAAGAAGAAGAATTGTGTTCTCATGAGAGCTTAGTCCTCTACTACAGCACCAATTCCAAGGAACCCCTAATCACAGCTGCTTTGAGAAATTGTTTTCTCCCCCTTTTGATGGTCCCTACTTATGGCATTGGAAGTGATGTTAATCCACAGGATTCTGTGTAGTAAATATTAAATATTGAATAGTAAATAGTCATCTTCTTCCTCTTCAGCATTCTGAGCCCTTGAGGTTCATTGCTGCAGATATCACCCATCTTCATTCATCTCTCTGATTGGCCTATTCTTTCCACTTGGTGACACCAAGTGTTTGCAGGTCTGTCTGGACATTATCTCTCCATCGTCTACTTAGTCTGTCTCGTGGTCTACGACCATTCATCTCCCTTGTGTATACAGTTTTCACTTCTTTGTCATCTGGCTTTCTTTCTCATGATGCCAGTCATCAATCTGATTTAAAGAGATTATGAATTTCGTTGTTGCTGCTCACTCTCCGTTTTCCGCTGTTTGCATCTTTGATGGATCCAAACATTTGTCCTACAGACTCGAATAATAAATAGTGAAAAGTAAATTGTGAAAAGTAAATAGTAAATAGTGAAAAGTATAATATATACATCTTCTTCTGGGTCATGATGCCAAATTATCCATCTTTCTTTGTTGTCCTCTGCTTCTTTTCCTTTTCAGCTTCTTACTCCGGTTTTCCCCTCCGGTTTTTCCCTCTGCACACTGTCACCTGAGTATAAATTGTCTTCTGATGATGGGAATGGTCATTTCTCTTTATGAAATAATTCCTTCCTTTCTTTTTTCCTTAATTCCTTTCTTCCTTTTATCGTTAATTTCTTTCTTCTTCTTCTTCTTTTTCTACTCCTTCTCCTTCCATCCTTTCCATCCTTTCCATCCTTCCATCCTTTCCATCCTTTCCATCCTTTCCTTCCTTCCTTCCTTCCTTCCTTCCTTCCTTCTTTTTTCTTCCTTTCCTTTATTCCTTCCTTCCTTCCTTTCCTTCCTTCCTTCCTTCCCTTCCTTCCTTCCTTCCTTCCTTCCTTCTTCCTCCTTCCTTCCTTCCTTCCTTCCTGCCTGTCTTCCTTCCTGCTGCTGCTGTAGACTGTGGCAGAAAGTCCTGTATGTTTATCTACTTCTGGACTTAGTCTTGTTCCAGAACTTGAGTTGCCTTTGATAGATGTGACTTATTTGTTTGTAGACTATTGGTTCCTTGCCTCTCTGACAGACGTGGTCTGACTTTGAAGGAAAACCCATATTTAGTCGACTTTTACAACATTCTTGTAAGGGAGGCAGTGGTTCCATCATTTGTTCCCCTCAACAAGGTGTCTGTAATCCATACAGGGACATTTCTTTCAAGACACACCATTGTGCTTTTGATCTATCAATGATGTTATCATTGTTCCCTTTTTTCCTAGTTCTTAGCCTCCAATGCCTGCTGTGGTGGCCGATTTCTGCATACATGTACAGACCATCAAAACTGACACTGATCCATTTGAGTTTGTAAGGCCTAGATTTCAAGACCACGAGGTCATGTATGATTGTAAACTTTACCCCTTCTGTTCACTTAGACCACCTTTCTCAGATACCTTAGTTCTGAGGCCCGAAGCTAACCTTTGTCCATCTTGTTTACTGTGTTATTAATTCCATGTTGTTGCCCTTGTTTACTTTCAGAAACCCACCTCAGAGTTGATGGCAGCAATACAGCTGGGCATTGGTCAGAGTGTTGGAGGACTCTCGGCCAAACCTGAGAGGGATGTGCTCATGCAGGACTTTGGTGTCGTGGAGGTTGTGTTTTTTCCTGGGTAATTCAGATATACTCTTTCAACTGTTTATGTCCTAGACATGTTTCTTAACCTCAGTCTAAAAAAACATTTTACTAAAACTATTAAATGTATGGTTTTTAAATTTTAAAAAAATTCATTATTAGATCATTATCTCCGCCATTGTCACACATAAACCCGGAAGATGCCCGGTTGGGCATGGGAAACTTTGCTACAGAAACTTGCAGGCATGGATGTCATTCTGGTAAACACTGGTAACAGCAGTTCTAAAACAAAGAAGAAGGCACTGTGTTGGATACATCCTGAGAAAAAGTAGACAGTCTCACCAAACAGGCACTAAAATGGGAAATAAAAAGGATTGAGGGAGCGAGGATGTCCAGAAAAAACCCAAAAAATGGACGATAGGCACGATCAGTGTTTTGAGCCATGGCAAATTTTTTGCTTCTGCCAGACGGTGGCTGTTGCAATTTTTCTCCAATTGTGGACTGAAAGGATTTAGTTTTGTCGTCCAGCAACTGAGTTAAGTGCATTGAGCGACACTGTGAGCTGCAGATATCATTAGGACTGTTTTTCAACTGTGACCAACGTAGTGTTGTAAATTGTAGCCTGTCGTTGCAATATTGGTGGTGCCCCTATGTGATTAAAATTGATCGCGTGTGCAGCTGCTGATCTGTTGGTGACTTCTACTGTCGATGATGAACTGCATTTCTAATGTCGGACTGTTTGTGTTAAAACTTCTGATTGCTACCGTATGCTTTTAATGGGTATGTGTGCTAGTGCATATGCTAAGACAGCAGTCTGTCTATCTTTCCACAAGGGACTGTGATGAACATTCTGTGTGTTTTTCGTTGGCACAGGAGCGGAGCAGCTTTGGGGTGACCCATTTGCTATGATGCTGAAACTAAGATTACCACGATTGATAAGAGAGACCAAAGTTGCTGGACTGGACTCCATCCATGAAGTCTGAGAGATGCAGAGGATAGAATATAGTGGAGGAATAGAATGCAAGCCTTATGTGAAATGTATTGGCACAACAGGATGAGAGGATGTCTGAAAGGCAGCCAATATTTATGTTTGCTGAAATTGGATTTGCCGGCCAAAACCTGCAGATATCGCAGCCTAACAACAACTTGTTAGTTAGTTAGTCTTTCCTCTTGAGTCTGGGGCGGCGCAGAGGTCATAGCTGTCCATTTCTGGCGGTTCGTTGCCACCTCTTTCAGGTCTTGGATGTTCATTAGGCCCATGGTTGAGCCTTTCCTGATGATGGTTCTGCGCAATGTCTTGGTCTTCCCAGTTTTCTTTCCTCTCCAGTTTTCATATGAAGGCTTGATGTGGGTGTCTGGTCTTATCCATTCTGAGTGGGTGGTCGATATAGCTCCAGCGGCGCTTCTTCTTATAAAAATGGATACATTATCTCGCTATATTTGCGTATTTTATCTGAAATTATACAGTGCAGGTTTAGTATTCTAAAACATCAAAATTGTCCAATTTAAAAAAAATCTAGAGCTACTGTTACTTTCCCAATCTTGCATCCATAAGTTAGCACTTTAATCACTTGAGAGTCTTCTTCTGCTTCTTCTCTTCCACCTTGTACCTCATCCAAGTGTCTGGGGCAGATATAACATTCGTTGAGTAGCTCTGTCTAGAGCTCTATTAGGACTGATGTTCATTTCTGTAAGGCTGTTCTCAATGCCATGACTCCATATTTTCCGAGGTATTCCACTCGCTCTTTACCCGTTGTAACGTTTTAGTGTGGCTCGTTGTGGCAGATACTAGGGCATTCTTGTTAGGTGTCCAAACCACTTCATTTGTTGTTCTTTGATGACCTGTAAGACTGGCTTTATTCCTAGCATTTGTTCTGATTTCATGATTTCGTATTCTGTATTTCCTTGAAACTCTCATGCAGCTCTTCTAAGGCATTTCATCTCTGTTGTCACATTTTTACGTTCATTGTAGGATGTTAGTGCCCAGGTTTGGCACTGATAGCATAGTGATGGCCAAAAAATTGTTCTGATAAGATTGATTCACTTTAGTACTCCGAGGTATCTGCTTGTGTGTCAACAGGGGAGATAGTTGCCACATTATTTGATTAGCTTTATCACACACGAGTTGAAGATCCTAAGTTTAACAAAATGTTAACTCCCCTTTTTAAAGCAAACACACAAAAATTAAGAAAAAGCAATGAGAGTACCTGAAGCTCCTAAATTCATAAATGATCAATTCTGCTGATTCACAGTGAAGGAAGCAACTTAACCCCAGCTCACCATTACAGTGACTTTCGCTTCAAGACGTACGCCTCCTGTTGCTTTCCGATACTTCCGCGATTTGTTTGGCATCCAGCCAGATGACTTTATGGTAAGTGTCAGTAGCTGTCTTTCAGTCACACCTTTAGTCTTCTTCTTTTTTCTTCTTCTTCTCTTTCTTCTTCTTCTTCTTTTTCTTCTTCTTCTTCTTCTTCTTCTTCTTCTTCTTCTTTTTCTTCGTGTTCACTGCTTGTAAACTTTGGTGGAAAGTTCTGATTGTTCTTCCACCTCTGGACTTTATACTTGTTCCAGACCTTAAGTGTTGTGTGCACATCTGTTTTACAGATCTAACTTTTAGTATGCAGTCTATTGGTTCTGTGCCTCTCAGGCAGATGCACTCCGACTTTGAAGGAAACTCCCAATTGCTCGACTCTTACGACATGTGATTTGGGTAGGCAGTGGGCTGTTCTTGTTTTCCCCCACAGTGGGGCCCTGGAACCCACACGGGAATTTTTGTGATACTGCTTATGTTACAGAATGTCACATAGAGGAGTTATATGCAGTTGCTTTCTTTTGCTACTTGCGTAGCTTATGTTAATGTAATTTGTGTTTCTGTGGTGTCTCTTTTACTCCCTCCACCCATCTCTTTCTTGGTCAACCTCTTGACTTGTTGCCTGCTGTTCTCACGTACACCGCTCTAGCTTCTGGCTGATTTGGTTACATTCTTACCAGATGACCAAACCATTTGATTCTTTGATCAAACCATTTGATTCTTTGATCAAACCATTTGATTCTTTGATCACACCATTTGATTCTTTGATGATCCCCATGTGGGTCGAGGGCCCCATTAAGTGGAAAAAAAAGAATAGACCTCTTGCCTCCCCAACAAGCATGTCGAAGGAGTCAGTTATTTTGGTACTTCTTTTGAAGCCAACTGCACACAAATAAGCCAGTAAAAAAAGATGTACCGCAAAACTCAGGCCCTGGCACAAAGCTAAAGTCGAATTGGATGAACAACCTGGAGCTTACAGCTTTTGAACAAAGAAGAAGATCTTTGATGTTCTGTTGTTCTTAATTCTTCATTGGTGACCCTTGTCTCTTGTAGTTTTTTCCCGCCACATTTCTCATCTCCCTTGCCTTTCACCGATAGCCCACTTTTTTTGCACAGACAGCACATTTTTCAGCTGCTTTTTTTGACTCTTTCAGTACCAGGTGATTTTGTTTTAAATACTTAATGAGATAACAAACACGATAAAAAGAGCATGGGGGAATTACTTTCAAAGATACATCATTTACTGCACTGTATGCTAGCATATCTTGCCAGATTTCTTTGGCATTAACAAACCAAATGATATATAATTACGTACTGCTCTTTGTTTGTTACACACTAATAACAGCTAATTGCACACTGTATGTTGGTTGGGACAGAAACAAGCAAAGGATCCTTCACGTGCTAGTAAGCACCAGGCGTGTATTTTGGCTCATATTATTTTTACAGTCAGCTCTTGACGGGTAATGTGGCCAGCATCATGTAGGCCCCCTTTATTTCCCATGACTTTCCTGGTACCAATTTTAAACTTTGTTGACCTAGGAGTCTTCAGCCCACCTGAGGTCATCTCTGATTAGATGTTTGTATTTTGTATACAACCGTGGCTTCCTGAATTTCACTGTCATTTATTTCATTTCCGGATTTCTGTCTACTGCTGCCCCCAGAAAGCATGTCGTAAAAGACAATGAATTAGTAGTGTTTCCTTCGATTCTGGTAAAAGACAATGAATTAGTGGTGTTTCCTTCGATTCTGGTAAAAGACAATGAATTAGTGGTGTTTCCTTCGATTCTGGTAAAAGACAATGAATAAGTAGTGTTTCCTTCGATTCTGGTAAAAGACAATGAATTAGTGGTGTTTCCTTCGATTCTGGTAAAAGACAATGAATTAGTAGTGTTTCCTTCGATTCTGGTAAAAGACAATGAATTAGTAGTGTTTCCTTCGATTCTGGTAAAAGACAATGAATTAGTAGTGTTTCCTTTGATTCTGGTAAAAGACAATGAATTAGTAGTGTTTCCTTCGATTCTGGTAAAAGACAATGAATTAGTAGTGTTTCCTTCAATTCTGGTAAAAGACAATGAATTAGTAGTGTTTCCTTTGATTCTGGTAAAAGACAATGAATTAGTAGTGTTTCCTTCGATTCTGGTAAAAGACAATGAATTAGTAGTGTTTCCTTCGATTCTGGTAAAAGACAATGAATTAGTAGTGTTTTCTTCGATTCTGGTAAAAGACAATGAATTAGTGGTGTTTCCTTCGATTCTGGTAAAAGACAATGAATTAGTGGTGTTTCCTTCGATTCTGGTAAAAGACAATGAATTAGTAGTGTTTCCTTCGATTTAGGAGTGCATCTGCTTGAGAAATTAGGAACCAACAGCCTGAAAGTATGCCAGGCATGTAAAATAGATGTACACGCACACGCCAAGCTCTGGAACAAGACAGAGGTACAGAAGTGGATCAACAACCAGAAATTTCCTTTCAGCCAGTAAATGCTGGAGATGTTAATTCCACATAATGCAGATTTGGTGGGGACAGACTTGAGAAAAAAAAAAGATTGTCCCAATACAAAATACCCAGGCAAAACTGTTGGCCAAGAGAAACACCAGTGCAAACCAAAAGTGAATTACAACAGGCAGTGAAGTTCATACTAAAGACAACATTGCATATATAGATAATATATTTCAAGTGAATCAGAGAAGAAGAAGAAGAGGAAGAAGAAGTAGAAGGTCTATTAGCCCAGCGGTTCTCAATCCTATGGGTCACGACTATTTTGTGTATCGAACGACCCTTACACAGGGGTTGCCAGAGACTATCAGAAAAGACATATTCACTGAAGTAATGAGGAAAATAATTGTATAGTTGGGAGTCTTAACAGCATGAAGTACTGTATTGAAGGGATGTTGAGAACCACCATATTAGCCCAGTAGTTGAGTTGAGTCAAGAATTGACATCACAGCACTCATGACATTTCCATGTGTGCTCTGTCCTCATCCTCAGCAGCCAGCGCAGAGTTCCAATACTGAGGGTACCAGTCACAATAGGGTTATATGTCCGTCTTGACTTTCCTCTGAGTGTAGCGAGCTGGCCAGACCCTCTGGTTACACCCTGGTGCCTCATTCTCTCTAGGCCATAATAATCTTCTTTCTCTACTAATTCCGTTGCTTGTTTCCAAAGAACCTTGACCACATCTGCCTTGTCATGTAACAATTAACCACCCAGTGGTGCAGATCCAGCCAATCTGTCTGCTTGTTCATTACCCACCACGCCGCCATAGCCTGGAGAAAAGATCCAAAGTATGCTCACTACCTTTCCAGTAAAGCTTGCCACTCTGCTCAAAGCATCCCTGTCTTCACCTTTCTCAGCATGACTTCAGAGTCTGTTACAATTACGACATGTGTATACATCTTGTTCTCTAGCTGTGATGCCAGTAGTTGGTGCTGATGCAGCCAGTAAATGATCTTGTGTTTTTGTTGCCCCTAGCTGTGTTGCCAGTAGTTGGTGCTGATGCAGCCAGTAAATTATCTTGTGTTTTTGTTGCCCCTAGCTGTGTTGCCAGTAGTTGGTGGTGATGCAGCCAGTAAATGATCTTGTGTTTTTGTTGCCCCTAGCTGTGTTGCCAGTAGTTGGTGGTGATGCAGCCAGTAAATGATCTTGTGTTTTTGTTGCCCCTAGCTGTGTTGCCAGTAGTTGGTGGTGATGCAGCCAGTAAATGATCTTGTGTTTTTGTTGCCCCTAGCTGTGTTGCCAGTTGTTGGTGGTGATGCAGCCAGTAAATGATCTTGTGTTTTTGTTGCCCCTAGCTGTGTTGCCAGTAGTTGGTCGTGATGCAGCCAGTAAATGATCTTGTGTTTTTGTTGCCCCTAGCTGTGATGCCAGTAGTTGGTGGTGATGCAGCCAGTAAATGATCTTGTGTTTTTGTTGCCCCTAGCTGTGTTGCCAGTAGTTGGTGGTGATGCAGCCAGTAAATGATCTTGTGTTTTTGTTGCCCCTAGCTGTGTTGCCAGTAGTTGGTGGTGATGCAGCCAGTAAATGATCTTGTGTTTTTGTTGCCCCTAGCTGTGTTGCCAGTAGTTGGTGCTGATGCAGCCAGTAAATTATCTTGTGTTTTTGTTGCCCCCAGCTGTCCCTGTGTGATGAACCTCTCAAGGAGCTGTCCAACCCTGGAGCCAGTGGGAGCATCTTCTACCTCACGCAGGACGATGAGTTCATCATCAAGACTGTGCAGCACAAGGAGGCAGAGTTCCTTCAGAAGCTGCTTCCTGGCTACTTCCTGGTATGTCCAGACTCTCATTATCATTATATGCGTGTTCTGTTATAGACCACATATGGGCTAACAGTGTAGTCTTCCATTCCCATCTGTCCTGTTGTGCTGTTGTAGATCACATAGGGCTCCCAGTCCAGTCTTCCATTTCCATCTGTTCTGTTATGGATCACATAGGTCTTGGAGTGTAGTCTTCAATTTCCATCTGTTCTGTTATGGATCACATAGGTCTTGGAGTGTAGTCTTCCATTTCCATCTGTTCTGTTATGGATCACATAGGTCTTGGAGTGTAGTCTTCCATTTCCATTTATCGTGTTGTGCTGTTGTAGATCACATAGGGCTCCCAGTCCAGTCTTCCATTTCCATCTGTTCTGTTATAGATCACATAGGTCTTGGAGTGTAGTCTTCCATTCCCATTTATCGTGTTGTGCTGTTATAGATCACATACGGCCCATAGTGTAGTCTTCCATTCCCATTTATCGTGTTGTGCTGTTATAGATCACATACAGCTCACAGTCCAGTCTTCCATTCCCATTTATCGTGTTGTGCTGTTATAGATCACATAGGGTTCCTAGTCTAGTCTTCCAAACCCATCTATCCTCTTGTGCTGTAATAGATCACATAGGGCTCCTAGTCCAGTCTTCCATTCTAACCTCAGTTGAGAAAGGGAGGTTATTGCATAGAATATTCTTCATTTTTGTAAAATATTGCCTTTGCTTTAGCTTTGCTAAATAATCGTTCACTAGTCCGCCAACTTTCCATGATTCACTTCTGTATATCAGGATAGGGTTTATAAACAGCCTCCTTAAGAATACACCATCAAGCTCAAACGGGCACTCCGGGCTATGCCACTTATTTATCTTCAAAATGATAATTCATTCAATAACACATGTTGCTAATTAATTAAATTGTAGTTCAGTTTGTGTAGAAATCTACTCAATAACAATGGTGAACCCTGACCATTCACAAAAACGGAAGTGCCTGTTTGAGCTTGATGGCCTTACTGCTGGAGCCGGCCGTGGGTTTATATAGTTCTTGAGATTCAGTTTCTCACCTTAATTAACAGAGAAAGAGTGCATAAAATGTTCCTCTTTTTGGAAAAAGGCTGCCTTTACTTGAGTTGTTCTACGTAACTGTTTCCTAATCGGCCAACTGTGAAAACTTCCTGACATTATAACTAGAATCTTCATGCACTGGAGCAGAGCAAAGACTGACCACAAAGTTACCAACATGGCATGTAATGATGATTGACACATAGATTTTGAAACTGTCTTTTGAATGTCACTAATTGGGTGTTTGAAATTGTGTTTTTTCCCCTCAGAACATCAGCCAGAATAAACGAACATTATTACCCAAATTTTATGGCCTCTTTTGCTATCAGGTATGTCGTATATATTTATGTGATGTCAGAAATGTGTGTGCGTGTAATGTCAGTAATGTTGTATGTGTGTGTGATATCAGGTATGTTGTATATATGTATAATATCAGGTATGTTGTAAATATGTGTGTGATATAAGATATGTTGTATATTTGTGTATACTAGGCATGTTGTATATATGTGTGTGATAATATCAGTTATGTTGTATATGTTTGTGATATCAGGTATGTTTATATAGGTGTGATGATATTAGATAAGTTGTATCTTGTATGTATGTGTGTGTGTGTGTTATCATGTATGTTGTATATTTGTATGTGATATCAGGTGTGTATATATATATATATATATATATATATATATATATATATATATAATATATATATATATATATATATATATATATATATATATATATGTATGTCAATATCAGGTATGTTGTATGTATGTGTGTATGATATCAGATATGTTGTATATATATATTTATATGTGTGTGTGTGATATCAGATGTTTTATATTTGTGTATGGTTTCAGATATGTTGTATATATTATGTGATATTAGGTATATGGTAAATGAGTGTGAAATCAGGTATGTTGTACATATATATATATATATATATATATATATATGTGTGTGTGTGTGTGTTTGTAATATTACATATGTTTTATATATACATATATGTACAACATATACTACATATCTGATATTACACACAAATACAACATACCTGATATCACAGTTCTCTCCCTTGGCCGCACTGCAAACAGTGATCGGAAAAGCCAACGAAACAAACGACACACTTACCTATCATCATACGGTTGCGTGTAGGGCTGCGTACGGTTGCGTGAGGCATCGTGAAGAGATGCGTAGTCATCATACGGTTGCGTGCAGGGTTGCGTACGGTTGCGTGAGGCATCGTGAAGGGTTGCGTAGTCATCATGCGGTTGCGTGTAGGGATGCGTAGTGTTTGGGTTTGAGTTAGGGGTAGGGTTAGAGTTAGGGGTAGGGTTAGGGTTAGGGTTTAGAGTTAGGGGTAGGGTTAGGGGTAGGGTTAGAGTTAGGGTTAGGGGTAGGGTTAGGGTTAGGGGTAGGGTTAGGGTTAGTGTTAGGGTTAGATGTGAAAATTTTGACGTAGGATTTCGAAATACTGGATGACAATCTGATGTTTGTGGGAGTGGCGCCACTGAAACTCTGCCAAATATGACGCCAATAGCGTGCGGCTGGTGCCCCCAATCGTTGGCGAAATGTGCGTTTGACCAGCATCCAGAGGCCCTCGATTGTTTGTGTGTGTATGGGACTGTGCGCGATTATAGGGAACTCCTGCGTCACAATTGTCAAATCTAACGCTAAACCTAACCCTACCGCTAACCCTAATCCTAATCCTACTCCCTAACCCTAACCCCTACCCCTAACCACGCAAATTTATCGATCATTAAAGCATACAAATCGGCAAAAACCAACAAACAAAACACACCAAAAAAAACCCCAGAATTGTCCTGCAGTGTCGGAAAAAAAAACCCAGATCTGGGGGAAACAACCAAGCATTGGCAGCCCCGATGTCGACGATGTTTCGTTGGCTTTTCCAATCACTGTTTGCAGTGCGGCCAAGGGAGAGAACTCTGACTAAGTCGTCCAAGGCTTTTTAGTCTTCGTCCGGATTTGACAGGAGTACCTATATATATATATATATATATTAGTTAGTTAGTTGGGTTATCATCATTGCACTCCGGACATGTCCATAGGTGCTCAGATCCTCCCCTCAGTATGAACCCCAACGTCCGATGGCTAATAGTACCAGTTCTATGTTGATTAACAAGTCTTCTGACGTGTCCGGTGTGCGTCTCGTTTTTTGCTGTGCCGATCTTAATTCCCAAGTCTGCCATTCTGGCGAGTGATGTGGATTCCCTGCCACCAAAGTCCTCTATCCTTCCCATTTCTCTGAGGGCATTGATAATATCAGCATGATCCATAGGCCGACCGTCGGTAGTGATAGCGGATCCAGCCAACCTGTCAGCTCTTTCATTTCCATCGACGCCTGCGTGTCCCGGAACAAAAATAAAGGTGACTCCACGCACAGTGGACTTCTGAATTGATTCAAGCCATTGTCTTCGCACTGAACCTGCCTGAACCCTTCGGATCATACTCATTGATCACTGAGTATACATATGCGGGTGTATTTTTTGTGTTTCAAGCCATGCAAACGCTTGCGTCACTGCCATCACCTCCATCGTCATGCTGCTGGTTGTCATGGAGAAGGCACCGTTGGCTTCTTTGACTGTTCTGCCCGCGCCGAGCGTGCTGTAAATGCCCATGCGCTTCTTCTTTGGCGTATAACGGATCCGTCTGTATAGATTAGTGCATCTGCTTCGTCTGAATTTTCACCGATGAGAGCGTTGACCTCTGCATTAACAGCAACAGGATTCTCTTCTCTACATCGCCTGTTGAGTGTGACAATACAGGAAAATGTACAAATAAATGCCTGAGGCACAGGTATCCATTCTGCACCAGGTATGATGTCGGTTAGGCTGCATATATATATATATATATATTTTGGTGATATCGGGTATGTTGTATATGTGTGTAATATAAGATTTGTAGTATATGTGGGTGATATGATATATATGTGGGAGTTATCATGTATGTTATAGCATCAGTTGGTTTGGATTGTAGCGTCAGTTAGCATTAATGATTATGATGTGTTGTACTTCTAGTGTGGAGGCAAGAACATCCGGTTCACTGTCATGAACAACTTACTTCCATCGACTGTTAAACTGCATGAAAGATACGACATGAAAGGAAGCACCTACAAACGGAAAGCCTCCAAGCATGAGCGATCAAAGTCTTTGCCAACGCTGAAAGACTTGGACTTCATGGAAAATCACCCAGATGGACTGATTTTGGAGAAGGACACATATGATGCTCTTGTCAAGACTTTACAGCGGGATTGTCGGGTAGGTAGTCAGTTTAGTAAGGGCTGCTGCTTTATGTTTGTTGTGTGTCTTATCAGGAGCCATGGTAGCACAGTCACTAGATGCCTGCCTGCTAGCCCAAAGTTCTTGGGTTCAAGTCTGCCTCTCTTTTTGTGGGTTCTGGGGGGCCCATTTTGGAGGGTGGGGATGGGAGAATAGACCCAGTGCTCTGCTAAGAAGCTTGTCATAAAGGTTGACTAATTGGGGGTTTCCTTCGAAGTCAGAGTGCATCTGCCTGAGAGGTTAGGAACCAACAGTCTGCTTACAAACCAGCCAAATTTGGAAAATTGATGTACACACTAAACTCAAGTTCTGGAACACGACAAAAGACCACATGTGGAACTTTCCATCGAAGTTTACAGCTGGTGAACGCTAAGAAGAAAAAAGGAGGAGAAGAAGAAGATGTCTGCTTTAAGGTGCTTTCTGATTTCTAACCCCCAGTGGAGCATAGGCCCTCAACAAACTCACGCCAAGTCATTCTATCCTTTGCTGTCGCATGCAGCTCTCCCCTTGTCCTCCCCATCTTTTGAACTTGACTCTCTAGCTCCCTTCTCCATGTGTTTTTCGGTCTTCCTTTATTTCTGTGCCCCTGTGGGTTCCAGTGCAAAGACATTCTAGTTATGTTGTTCTCAGGTTTACTCAGCATGTGTCCTATCCAAAGCCAGCGTCTTTTCTTCACCTCTTGGTCCACTCAGACTTGTTTAGTTCTCTCCTAAACCTATTTATTAGTGATTCTATGATACCATTTAATTCCATCTATTCTGCACAGACACCAGTTAATGAATGTTTGTTGTTTATTAGTAATTAATCTGGAGATCAAAAACATTTCATGCAAAACTAAGATCTGATTGCTCAGAGCTATTAGTACATGTACATATGGCTGCGAAACCTGGACCTTAACAGCTGAACTTGAAAGGAAGATGTGGCGCGGTGATTTATGTCACAGGCGTGAGGGAAAGTTAAGTCCAACATGATGTGTATAAGGAGATACTCTGTACGTCACTCGGGCGCCAGTCCTTCACTGTTCTGGTTGTACGGAACCTCACGCAAGACCCCTGCAGCACGTCCTCGTCGTGCGCCATGGATAATGTCTCAAATGAGCATTAACAGAGCTGTCAGGGGATCTCGGAGTTTGGCGGCCCCCGGAGGTGATGTGTCCTTGTGGCTCTCATCAGCCCGCCCCCAAACGCATGGGTGAAAAAGGTTATCAAAACTCATTAGGAACATGAGTAAAGTGCATGCCCCACGTACTACTAAAATTACAACCCTCGGTTAAAAGTTTGGGGAGTGAAGAGAACATTGTTCTGCTGAGACTCAACCCTTGACCTAGAGATTTACCCGCAGCACAGATGAGTAACATCTCCTGTGGGTGGCGTCTCGCAGCAAGATTCTACCCATGTACATCCTCTGTTAACCCTCAGTGTCGTCGTCACCGCGCCAAGGTACACCAAGACAGCACCCATCCACAGGCTGGCCACCCATGTACATCCTCTGTTAACCCTCAGTGTCGTCGTCACCGCGCTGAGGTACACCAAGACAGCAACCATCCATAGGCTGGCCACCCACGTACATCCTCTGTTAACCCTCAGTGTCGTCGTCACCGCGCTGAGGTACACCAAGACAGCAATCATCCATAGGCTGGCCACCCACGTACATCCTCTGTTAACCCTCAGTGTCGTCGTCACCGCGCTGAGGTACACCAAGACAGCAACCATCCATCGGCTGGCCAAGCCTAAATGTCCAACAAAACTAGAACCTACGAGACACGAGCAAGCTAAAAATCTGACCATCACAAATCGTATTGAACGGAAAAAGTCCAAATGTCCACACCCAAAGACCCCACTCGCCCGAGTGTTGGGACCAAACAGATAACGATATGCCTGATGCAGGATGTTAAATTTTGTCGGGCTAACGGCTCGTCAAAGATACCTAACGTGCGAAGAAAAAGAATGTACCTATTTGGGTGGTCACAAAAGTCCAGAATTCGCGGGCTGCTCCCCGCTGACTTTCAGAGGGGGCAGCCCTTGTCAAGCGGGAGGCCTGATACGGTTGTGAGGTTAAGCAGGCATGTGCAGGACGTGACGATTCCTTGGGTGAGCCCAGAACCAGAGCGCCATGTGCCGGCTCTGCAAAAATGGAAGCCTCCTTGGATGGCGGGGAATGCCCATGATCTGCCCCTGCCTTCCCTTGAGGGCCAACCGTTCCGCAGGGAGCTACCCCAAAGGGGTACTCCGGGGGCAACACCTGCGGAAAAGGAGACAAAGTGGACACCACACAAATCAGGCAACGTCTTGACCCACACAAAACAATGGCCACAGTCATCCTAGAAATAGGCCTGACGTCTTCCTTCGAAGTCGGAGTACAGCTGCCCATGAGGCAGGGAACAACAAAACGGTTGTACACGCAAAACTCAGGTCCAGGTAAAAGCCAAAAGTCCAAGCGGAATTCACAGCCGGTGAACGAAGAAGAAGAAGAAAGAAAGATACAAGGATTAGAAATGCAATGTTTCTGAAAAATTCTTGGCATATCATACAGAGACCACACTACAAACGAAGAGGTTCGACATAACATTATACAGCACATTGGCATTTATGAACCTCTTTTAACTACATTGAAAAGACAAAAAATGCAATGGTATGGACATGTAATAAGATCTAACGGCCTCTCAGAAACAATTCTGCAGGGCTCAGTAGAGGGAAAGAGGAGAAGAAGCAGACCAAGAGAGACCTGGTTACAGAACCTGACTGACTGGACAGGCCTCAGGTATGCAACCATGAAGTCCATCGCAACTGACTGCCAAAAGTGGAGAGAGCTGATCAGACAGTCAGTAGATACTGGTGACCCAAATGACACATAGTGTTATGGGATGATGATAACACTCAAATGCCTGGTATATATTTAGCTGTTCAACTTCCCAGTGTGGGTTCTGGAAGCCTCCCTGCCCTTGAACAGGCAAGTGTGAAGAGTGACTAATTAGAGAGTTGCTAAAATAAGATGTGTTGGTGAGGTTAACCTTTAGCACCCCACAGTCGAGTATATTGGACTTCAGCCGCCCACCTCGTAGCCTCCCACAGTCGAGTATACTCGACATCTATATATGGTTGGGGAATACGAAGCCTAAACGGAGCTACGCGTGTGACCTTCTAGAGTGGTTACACTTCCTCTTTGTCTGTTTTGATTGCTAGGAGGCCGAGAGTAGGTTTGTGTGATCAATTTTTCTGAGCCAGTTCGATTTTTATTGTGGGGTGCTAAAGGTTAAGCAGTCATGTGCAGGAGGTGATGAGTCCTTGGGTTAGCCCAGTACCAGAGTGTCATATGTCAGCCTCTAACCGGGAATGTTAACTCTGTCAACAAATGCCTGCAGAAGTCGCATGCGCTGGCCGCAAGGAGCAAATGTCGCAGCCATACTGTAAACAGGCACACCGCATTATATATACGGATGAATGCGGAAGAAAAAGTGTCAGCTCTGCATTTATGGGAGCCCCCTTGATTGGCATGGAATGTCCATGATTTGCCTCTGTCTTCCTTGGAGAGCTGACCAGGCTATACCTGATTGTCCTGAATGGGTTTTCAAGGGGCAGCACCCATAAAGAAATGGACGAAGAAGACGCCACACAAATAGGATTACTTCATGCCCCAGGAAACCTTTGAGATCTGACCAGGCTATATATACCTGGTTGTTCTGGATGGGTTCTCCAGGGGCATCACCCGTAAAGAAAGGGACAAAGAGGATGCCACACAAATAGGGTTACTTCATGTCTCACAAAACCTTCCCCTCCCTTGGATGAAGAGTAAAGAAGAAGAAGAAGAAGATGTGTTGGGCTGAAAAGTACAGCCTTGCTGTAAACCGCAACACAACGTGCCAGCCACTGTTTAAGAAGAAAGGAGAAGCTGGGAACCTAATTTTCTGACCCCTTATTATTTTCAGGTGTTGGAAAGCTTCAAGATCATGGACTACAGTTTACTTATTGGGATTTATAATCTGGACCAAGCCAAGAATGAGCCGGTAAATAGTATGTTTGTGTTGTGGGTCATTTACAAAAAAATTAACTGGTAGAATATATGTTAGTGTGTTGCATATCATATATTTAATTAACTGGTAGAATATGTGTTTGTGTTGTATATCATTTTCTGTGAATTAACTGCTAGAATATGTGTTTGTGTTGTGTGTCATTTTCTTTGAAATAACTGATAGAATAAGTGTTTGTGTTATGTTGTGAATTTCTTTGAATTAGCTGGTAGAATTTGTATACGTTATGTGTCATTATCTTTGAATTAACCAGTAGAAAATGTGTCTGTGTTGTGTGTCATTCTTTTTGAATTAACTGGTAGAATATGTGTTTGTGTTATGTGTAATTCTTTTTAATTAACTGGTAGGATATGCGTTTGTGTTGTATGTACTTTTTTGTGAATTAACTACTAGATTATGTGTTTGTGTTACGTGTGTCATTTTCTTTCTTTGTCCTATCACAGCTTTGTAACTGTTCCAGTCAAAGTTATTGCAACATATTCTCTGTTCATTATTTGTCTTATTGTCTTTTGTTTGTCTTCCTACTTTTATTTTTCTTTGCGTGTGAGTGTGTTTGTCGTCCTGCCTGCCTGACTTGTTTATCTGCCTCATGTGTGTTTTTGCATGTATACTTGACATCTATGTTTTTTTTTTTTACTTTGCATTCATGCTTTAAATTTGGGCATATTAACATGATGTGCTTAATATATAAAATACAGCTGCGATGTGAAAGATGAGTGTTTGGAAGGGTCAAATGTAAGATGGGCCTGCAGGCCTAAATGTGGACCCTTTGGGTTTGTTTGTTTGTTTATTGCTTTTTCATTCATCCTTTTGATTCTGATTGTGCCTACCAATAAGCATCGTCATTTCCCCTGCAGGTTCCATGTGGGGAAAATAAGGGAAGACCCACTGCCTTCCCACAAGCGTGTCCTAAGAGTTGACTAATTGAGAGCTTCTTTTAAAGTTGTAATGCATCTGCCTGAGAGGCAGCGAGCCAACAGTCTGCATACAAATAAGTCAGATCTGTACAATTGATGTGCACACAACACTCATGTTCTGGAACATGAATAAAGTCCAGAGGTGGACAAACAACCAGAAGTTTAAAACTCTCCACCGGAAGAAGAAGCATGTGGTCAAGTGTAACTAACTCAGCTTTGTTGACATCAGATGTTCTGGGCAGAAAGGTGCACATGTCGCAGCCTGGCCATAAACCACAGCATCATGAGTTAGTCGCGCTTAAACAAGCAAAAGGTACAGATATCGCAGCCTGGCCATAAACCACAGCATCATGAGTTAGTCGCGCTTAAACAAGCAAAAGGTACAGATATCGCAGCCTGGCCATAAACCATAGCATGAGTTAGTCGCTCTTAAACAAGCAAAAGGTACAGATATCGCAGCCTGGCCATAAACCATAGCATGAGTTAGTCGCTCTTAAACAAGCAAAAGGTGCAGATATCGCAGCCTGGCCATAAACCACAGCATGAGTTAGTCGCTCTTAAACAAGCAAAAGGTACAGATATCGCAGCCTGGCCATAAACCACAGCATCATGAGTTAGTCGCTCTTAAACAAGCAAAAGGTACAGATATCGCAGCCTGGCCATAAACCACAGCATCATGAGTTAGTCGCGCTTAAACAGGCAAAAGGTGCAGATATCGCAGCCTGGCCATAAACCACAGCATCATGAGTTAGTCGCTCTTAAACAAGCAAAAGGTACAGATATCGCAGCCTGGCCATAAACCACAGCATGAGTTAGTCGCTCTTAAACAAGCAAAAGGTACAGATATCGCAGCCTGGCCATAAACCACAGCATCATGAGTTAGTCGCGCTTAAACAAGCAAAAGGTACAGATATCGCAGCCTGGCCATAAACCACAGCATGAGTTAGTCGCTCTTAAACAAGCAAAAGGTGCAGATATCGCAGCCTGGCCATAAACCATAGCATGAGTTAGTCGCTCTTATACAAGCAAAAGGTGCAGATATCGCAGCCTGGCCATAAACCACAGCTTGAGTTAGTCGCGCTTAAACAAGCAAAAGGTACAGATATCGCAGCCTGGCCATAAACCACAGCATGAGTTAGTCGCTCTTAAACAAGCAAAAGGTACAGATATCGCAGCCTGGCCATAAACCACAGCATGAGTTAGTCGCTCTTAAACAAGCAAAAGGTACAGATATCGCAGCCTGGCCATAAACCACAGCATCATGAGTTAGTCGCGCTTAAACAAGCAAAAGGTACAGATATCGCAGCCTGGCCATAAACCACAGCATCATGAGTTAGTCGCTCTTAAACAAGCAAAAGGTGCAGATATCGCAGCCTGGCCATAAACCACAGCTTGAGTTAGTCGCGCTTAAACAAGCAAAAGGTACAGATATCGCAGCCTGGCCATAAACCACAGCATCATGAGTTAGTCGCGCTTAAACAAGCAAAAGGTACAGATATCGCAGCCTGGCCATAAACCACAGCATCATGAGTTAGTCGCGCTTAAACAAGCAAAAGGTACAGATATCGCAGCCTGGCCATAAACCACAGCATCATGAGTTAGTCGCGCTTAAACAAGCAAAAGGTACAGATATCGCAGCCTGGCCATAAACCACAGCATGAGTTAGTCGCGCTTAAACAGGCAAAAGGTGCAGATATCGCAGCCTGGCCATAAACCACAGCATCATGAGTTAGTCGCTCTTAAACAGGCAAAAGCAGAAGACAAAGAATGAAGCTGGCATTTTTGTAATTACATTTTAAATTTTGTTAGACAACATTAAAAGTTTATGGTTAAGCACCAACAAGGAAATCAAAGTTAAAATTTTGAGCATGCATCTTACCTATAGCAACATACAGATGTGAGTTGTGGACTCCTAGTCCTTTAAAGAAGAAAACAGGGGCCTTTGAGCTGAAAATCTATAGAGAAATTATCAGAATACCATGGATAAAGAATAAAAGAAATACTGACATTCTAAAAGATTTGAACATCAAGGAAGATTGGCTAATGAATAGCATTTTGTCTCAAAGGCTAATAAATAGCATCTTGTCCCAAAGGCTAATAAATAGCATCTTGTCCCAAAGGCTAATAAATAGCATCTTGTCTCAAAGGCTAATAAATAGCATCTTGTCTCAAAGGCTAATAAATAGCATCTTGTCCCAATGGCTAATAAATAGCATCTTGTCCCAATGGCTAATAAATAGCATCTTGTCTCAAAGGCTAATAAATAGCATCTTGTCTCAAAGGCTAATAAATAGCATCTTGTCTCAAAGGCTAATAAATAGCATCTTGTCTCAAAGGCTAATAAATAGCATCTTGTCTCAAAGGCTAATAAATAGCATCTTGTCTCAAAGGCTAATAAATAGCATCTTGTCTCAAAGGCTAATAAATAGCATCTTGTCTCAATGGCTAATAAATAGCATCTTGTCTCAATAGCTAATAAATAGCATTTTGTCTCAATAGCTAATAAATAGCATCTCGTCTCAATGGCTAATAAATAGCATCTTGTCTCAATGGCTAATAAATAGCATCTCGTCTCAATGGCTAATAAATAGCATCTCGTCTCAATGGCTAATAAATAGCATCTTGTCTCAATGGCTAATAAATAGCATCTTGTCCCAATGGCTAATAAATAGCATCTTGTCTCAATGGCTAATAAATAGCATCTTGTCTCAATGGCTAATAAATAGCATCTTGTCTCAATAGCTAATAAATAGCATTTTGTCTCAATAGCTAATAAATAGCATCTCGTCTCAATGGCTAATAAATAGCATCTTGTCTCAATGGCTAATAAATAGCATCTTGTCTCAATGGCTAATAAATAGCATCTCGTCTCAATGGCTAATAAATAGCATCTTGTCTCAATGGCTAATAAATAGCATCTTGTCTCAATGGCTAATAAATAGCATCTCGTCTCAATGGCTAATAAATAGCATTTTGTCTCAATAGCTAATAAATAGCATCTCGTCTCAATGGCTAATAAATAGCATCTTGTCTCAATGGCTAATAAATAGCATCTTGTCTCAATGGCTAATAAATAGCATCTCGTCTCAATGGCTAATAAATAGCATCTTGTCTCAATGGCTAATAAATAGCATCTTGTCCCAATGGCTAATAAATAGCATCTTGTCTCAATGGCTAATAAATAGCATCTTGTCTCAATGGCTAATAAATAGCATCTTGTCTCAATAGCTAATAAATAGCATTTGTCTCAATAGCTAATAAATAGCATCTCGTCTCAATGGCTAATAAATAGCATCTTGTCTCAATGGCTAATAAATAGCATCTTGTCTCAATGGCTAATAAATAGCATCTCGTCTCAATGGCTAATAAATAGCATCTTGTCTCAATGACTAATAAATAGCATCTCGTCTCAATGGCTAATAAATAGCATCTCGTCTCAATGGCTAATAAATAGCATCTTGTCTCAATGGCTAATAAATAGCATCTCGTCTCAATGGCTAATAAATAGCATCTTGTCTCAATGGCTAATAAATAGCATCTCGTCTCAATGGCTAATAAATAGCATCTCGTCTCAATGGCTAATAAATAGCATCTTGTCTCAATGGCTAATAAATAGCATCTTGTCTCAATGGCTAATAAATAGCATCTTGTCTCAATGGCTAATAAATAACATCTTGTCTCAATGGCTAATAAATAACATTTGGTCTCAATGGCTAATAAATAGCATTTTGTCTCAATGGCCAATAAATAGCATCTTGTCTCAATGGCTAATAAATAACATTTGGTCTCAATGGCTAATAAATAGCATTTTGTCTCAATGGCCAATAAATAACATCTTGTCTCAATGGCTAATAAATAACATTTGGTCTCAAAGGCTAATAAATAGCATTTTGTCCCAATGGCTAATAAATAGCATCTTGTCTCAATGGCTAATAAATAGCATTTTGTCTCAATGGCTAATAAATAACATTTGGTCTCAATGGCTAATAAATAGCATTTTGTCTCAATGGCCAATAAATAGCATCTTGTCTCAATGGCTAATAAATAACATTTGGTCTCAAAGGCTAATAAATAGCATTTTGTCTCAATGGCTAATAAATAACATTTGGTCTCAATGGCTAATAAATAGCATTTTGTCTCAATGGCTAATAAATAACATTTGGTCTCAATGGCTAATAAATAACATTTTGTCTCAATGGCCAATAAATAGCATCTCGTCTCAATGGCTAATAAATAACATTTGGTCTCAATGGCTAATAAATAACATTTTGTCTCAATGGCCAATAAATAGCATCTCGTCTCAATGGCTAATAAATAGCATTTTGTCTCAATGGCTAATAAATAGCATTTTGTCTCAATGGCTAATAAATAACATCTTGTCTCAATGGCTAATAAATAACATCTTGTCTCAATGGCTAATAAATAACATCTTGTCTCAATGGCTAATAAATAACATCTTGTCTCAATGGCTAATAAATAACATCTTGTCTCAATGGCTAATAAATAACATCTTGTCTCAATGGCTAATAAATAACATCTTGTCTCAATGGCTAATAAATAACATCTGTCTCAATGGCTAATAAATAACATCTTGTCTCAATGGCTAATAAATAACATCTTGTCTCAATAGCTAATAAATAACATCTTGTCTCAATGGCTAATAAATAACATCTTGTCTCAATGGCTAATAAATAACATCTTGTCTCAATGGCTAATAAATAGCATCTTGTCTCAATGGCTAATAAATAACATCTTGTCTCAATAGCTAATAAATAACATTTTGTCTCAAAAATCAAAATACTTTGGCCATATTAATTACCACGGCAGATTGGACAAAATAAAAGCAGAAGGCATGATACCAGGAAGAAAAGGCAGGGGCCGACCAACACAAAGGTGGACACAGGATATAAGTGACTACTTGAAAATGAAAGTGGGGGAGAATTGGCGAGAGACAGGTAGACCATAATGAGAGTGAATGTACTGCAAAGGACCTGCTACATGATGATGATTATAATATTGATTCTGAAATAACCAGAGTAATGTGTTGACACATCTACTTCTGCAGCCACCTGTCCAAGAAAGCGCATCATTTGACAATCCTTCCGTTATTGCTGGCCTAGCCTTAGCCACAGGGAGCCATTTTGACCCACATATGAACCGTATGTTGTAGTGTGTACTTGTCACATGTTGTACTTATGAAATGTTGTAATGATAGCATGTTGTACTTACATTATCTGTATAGCACGTACTTATATAACATATTGGACGTATCACATGTAGAGGGACCGTCTCCAGGCCTTCAGGTGTATTGAGTATGAAAGGCTAGACCTTTATTTTATAGACTATTTGTCACTTAATGGGCGATGTTGTTAACATCGCGCCGCCCGCCTTTACTTCCCAGGACTTTATCTGGTAACCATTTAAGGCTTGGTCAGCCTGGGAGCCGAGATCATTTTTGAAAAAAAAAATGATTTAGCACTTTTTGGATTTGAACCCACCACCTTCTGATTTGCAGTTGAGTCTAGCCGCTACACCGCAGCGCCTCCCCCTTATAAAATTTACTTATAACTTATTGTGCTTACATCATATTGTACCTATAATATCCTCATTTCATAAGTATATAAACCTAATTTGCATACTTCATCCATCATATCACCAAGTGGTGCAGCACCAGCCAGTTTGTCTGCCTGTTGATTTCCCCAAACACCAGCCTAACATAGAGAAACGATGCCAACAACCCTACAATGTCCTCCTGTAGCTGCTTCTGTGCTCTACTTCTTTAAGTAAACTCATCATCATCATCATCATCTGTTGTGCTGGGAAGCATAGGCTTTCATGTTTCGCCATCTCGCACGATCACCAGAATCACAGATCAGGTCATTGTTCTTGTCTCTCCCCATCCTTGTGGCCAGGTCATCCAGTATTTATCTCTTTGCCTTCTTCTAGTTCTCTTTCCTTCAATCTTGCTAGTTGTTACCCTGTTCTCCAGTCAACTTGTTCGCATATAATGTCCCCCCCCCCCCCCAAAAGTTATGTCTGCGTCTGATTGTTGTGACAAGTTTCTGACTTTCTTCTGTCTCGATGAGGACTGCTTTGTTTGCTTTACTATTCCTCCATGAAATTGTTTGCATTCATCTTAAACAAGACATCTCTGCCACGAGTCAATGTTTTTTAGCTTGTCTGCCTAACGTCCATGTTTCACATGTGTATGACAGCACAGGTTCTTCATGGCAGTTTAACGCTCTTTTTCCTCACTTACTATCTTATTGGTGAGAATCTTGCCACTTTTGCCATTAGACTTTAAAACAGTTTCAGAATAATTATATATTCAGTTGCTTCAGAATTTTTCTGTTTGTACGCATTTCACTTTTGTCTTTCACACTTTACTTTGGTATTTTAAAACAAGAACAAATACTTTGTTATTTCACACTTTGGTATTTTTTTTGTTCTTGGTGATGACCATAATTTCCTTCAGTAATCTAAAGGACAGTTTTCACCCTTTGCTGCATCAGCATATAATGCTAGTCTTGTATTTTGTAAACCAATCAACATTTGGTGGGTGATACGGCCCACATCCTGCTGACTACCTTTGCTTCCCAGGACATTGTCTTGTCCCCATTTTATGCTGGGTTGACTTATGTAAAATGTTGATTGTTACTTGAAGTGTTTTGTTTGTTTATGTTTACCAGCTGTAGACTCTGGCAGAAAGTCCTGGTTGATCGTCCAATGACAGACTTCCCAGGACTTTGCATGCACATTCCTCGACAGATCTGGCTTATTTATGGGCTGTTTGCTTGCCTGTCAGGCAGATGCCCTCCGACTTGAAAGGAATTTGTGGACTGATCTTATTATGTACATCAGGGCTGTTCTAGGGGGCTGCGTGGTCTCAAGGCATGGTGTCCGCCTCAAGTGCTAGAGGTTCCGGGTTCAATCCCCGGTAAGGGCTTGGATTTTTTCATGTGGACTTGGACTTCTAGTAATTCGCACTGGTCTCTGGGTAATGAGATTGGATGCCAGCGTTGCGCATGTAAAAAATCCCTTGGCAGTTGGAAATCGAAAAATTTGGAGTTAAAAATCAACCCAAGTATTTCAGGATCCTTGCCGATGCTGCAGAGCACTGCGCACTGTGCTTAGCTTCTTCTGACTCAGACCTGAGTTAGAAGAAGAACGGAGCACTTATGGGTTACTACCTGTGTGCCATGATGTTGATCCATTGTTCAAAACCTCAAACCTCAAAGGCTGTGCTGCTAAGTTAACTCAGGGGTCAAACTGTTAAAAATAAGGGGTTGTGATGGGCCAGAGGCCGAAACCTCAGGTTGAAAGATCATTGATACAGTACACTTGGCAGCAGTCTGTAGGCCGCTTGTTATGCCTCTTTGTAAAAAAGCTGGCTAACTTTTAATATAGCTTGTTTACTCTGGAACAAATACAGCTTTAAACAATTAACAACACTGGAACGCTGATTGAATTCCCTCATACATTCTGCCAGCTTATTTCTACTATTCCATCACAATTACTCAACCACAGTCGTTGCTGTTCACTTCCACAAATGTGCCACAATAATCATTTACTCAGTGTTGACTACACTTTATTTAAACTACATTGACAACATCGCTACTGTCCTCTTCCAACTGTGGTACACAACTGACCACGAGTCAACCTCGGACTTACCCTCGTTGACCTTTCTAGCCCCAAGTTTCTCATGCGGTCGTTTGTCGCACAGAAGACCATGCCAAGCACCTCGTCACACTCTTCCGACCGGATTCGGCACGGGGGCTGCCAGTTGAACAGCCCTGATGTGCATTATCAGATACAACCAGGTGATCTCCCACAGGTGTGCTTCATGTTTTCTTTTCCATTCCTGCTTTTCTGCAGAAAGTGCAGCAGCTGGACTTCAGCGAGGCAAGTCTTTCAAGACAAGAATTGGCCAGTATACCACGCCGCTGGAGTCCATCCAGGGAAACACGGAACTGACAGAGGACTTGGTGGAGGATGAGGACGTTCCGTATGTTATTGCTTTTTAAAACTATCTCTTCCCTCGGTGTGGGTTCCTGGGTCCCATTTTGGAGGAAAAAGAATAGACCTATGCCACCCCACCCCCAACTATGTAATAAGAAGCAACTATTTAGTTGTGTTTCCTTTGAAACCAGAGTGCTCCTGTTTGAGAGATGAGGAAGCAACAGTCTGCATGCAAGTCAGCCAGATCTGTTAAAGAGAAGTACTCTCAAAACTCAGGTTCTGAAACGAGCAAAGTCCAGAAGTGGACAGACAGCAAGAACTTTCTGCGGGAGTTTACAGCCGGTGAAAGCTTAGAAGAAGGAATAAAGAAAGAAGGAAGAAGAATGTTTTCGGTTTGTTTCGTGTTTAAAGAAATTCTTATTATGCTCAACCTCAGTAGGATGGAGAGAGTGACGTGGGGAAGGAGGAGGAGGAAGAGAGAGAAAATGAAAACAAACTTTATTTGTGAATGTTAAATGTTGAATCAAAAATTGCCATCACAGCAGTCGGGACACCCCCATAAGCACTCTGTCCCTATCTTCAGCAGCAAGTGAAGAGTACCAATTCTGATGGTAGCAGTAACCATATGGAAAAAAATAAACTTTATTTTTGAAGGGCCACAAATTGGCCAGAGACCCATCTTAGAAAAAGAAGGAGAGGGAGAGAGAGAGAGGGAGGCTGGGAGGGAGAAAGGTGCATGAGAGGGGGGTGGATAAAGGGAGGTAGAGAAGAAGAGCATAGAGGCTTTTTTTGGAGATCCTTCTTTCCTCAGTCCCTCTGTTTATCATTTCTGCTTCTGTTTGGTCATTATTTGCTTATTTCTTATCAGGGTGTGTCCCATGCAGTGCTGTTTTCTCTGTCAAAACTTTTGATACAAGTGGTTGCCCAGACATTTTTCTTAACTCTTTATCCTGCTTGAATTTAGATCATTTTATTTCATTTTCTTCAGGCTTTTTTGCAGATTTTGTGCCATGTCTTCAGTGGTTCTCCAACGATACCAGAATAGATCAAGATGTCAAAATATACCAAGATATCAAAATAGATCAAGATATAAAATAGATCAAGATGTCAAGATATCCAAATAGATCAAGATATCTTCTTCTCTTCTTCTTCTTCGCGTTCACCAGCTGTACACTCTGGCATAAAGTTCTGGTTGTTCGTCCACTTCTGGACTGCAGTCCTGCTCCAGAACATGAGTGTTGCGTGTGCATCAGTTTTACAGTTCTGATTCAGTTGAATGCAGACTGCTGGTTCCTTGCTTCTCAGGCAGATGCACTCCGACTTCAAAGGAAGCTCCCCAGTTAGTCGACTCTTACGACATGCTTTTGGAGAGGCAGTGGGTCTATTCTTGTTTTCCCCACAATAGGGCCCCAGAACCCACATGGGGGGGGGGGGGGGGGAGGGTGAGGGGGTGGGGGGGGGGGGGGGGGGGGGGGGGGGGGGGGGAATCAAGATATCAAAATAGATCAAGATATTAAAATAGACCAAGATATCTGTCTGGGATCTGCTTTACTAATTTATTTCCTATAGCTTGCGAGGTAGGCCAGCTAACAGACTTAACTACACTACGATACACTTAACAAACACACTGCTAAGTACAAACATAATCTTTAATTCACAAAGAGCAGTACAACTTCTGGCACCTCAACCAAGTTGGCAGTCCTTATCGGAAATGCCGGCGTTGAGCAGCTTTTTCACTATTCAATCCGAGCCGTTCCCATGTATCTACCAAGGACACGATTCTAAACTAACAGTTGAACAGTGCTGACTAAGCCGTCGTCTATTGCCACGCGGGACTTAGTGACAAACTTAAGGTGTATGGCCTAAGTGTGACTGGGCAGTGTTAACACCATTAACAATGCGTGTCACATTCACTAGCTGCTTAACAAATACTGCGTGGAAGGTTTACTACACAAGGAACATTAACTTTACACTATCTCGTCAAAATATTATATGGAAACTCAGCCTATCTAAAAAAAAAAACAACTAACCACAAATACTATTCAATCTAGCTGTCACTAAACTAAGATATGTTTGCCCGTCGTAGTACTGCGTCTGACCAGTCCAGTCTCCGCTTCACAACTCAACTCCCCCAGCAAGCTCTCTCCAAGCCTTTTTGTTGCCCCCTCCAGCGTTTATCTCTTGACACGCGGTAACAAATCTTAACGGTGGAGCCTGGTTCAGTTGACCCTGTTTATTTCGTGGTAAAACTGCCCGATCTCGCACTGAGTTTTACTGAGGGTCAACTCGCTCATACCTGATGATTCACTATCATCAACTCTGTTCATCCTGTAGCTGAACTGGCCTCTGACAATATCAAAATAGACCAAGATATCAAAACATAAATGAAACACAAACAGTGGTTAGAAAGCTCGATAGTAATAAATAAAAATGCACAGACAAATACATCTGAACATTTTGACCAGTCTTTTACTAAAAAACAGTAGAAGAGAATTATCTCTTCTTGTTCCTGTTTTTTATGCAATTCTGTTTCTATGTAATCTTCCTGGTTGATTTTTATTTGTATCATCCGTTGATAAAGAATATTTTTAAAATGCTTGGCTTATTTTTGTGTGCATCTTTTCCTTTCACTTCTTTGAGTCCCCATATGTGTTCTGGAGCTTTGTTATGGGGAAAACAAGAATTAACTCACTGCCTCCCCAACAAGCCTGTTGTAAGAGTCGACTAAATGGGGGGTTTCTTCAAAATCAGAGTGCATTTGCCTGAGAGGCAGTGAACCAGCAGTCTGCCTGCAAATAAACCAGATCTGTAAAATGGTTGTGCATGCAGAAGTCAAGTTCTGTAGCAAGACTTAAGTCCAGAGGCTGATGAATAACCAGAACTTTCTGCCAGGAATTACAGCCGGGGAACGAAAAGAAAAAGAAGGCTTCTTTGAGCATTCTCGTCTAGTTTGTGTTAAGTTACTGTGTTTTGTGTGTGCTGAGTAATTCTGTGAGCATGATCTGCCGGGTCGAGGCAGGCTTGTTATGCAGACTGGATTGTCATTGCAGAACTCTCCTGTATGTGCAGTTACCCTCATATATTGCCTAGAGTATGTAGATGTTATTGGCAATGAAAGAGCTGATAGTCTGGCAGATTCTACATTAATTGCAGATGGACCATGCAGACATTGTCAGTGCCCTTATAGAGAAAGGACGTTGCGAGTATTTTGGAAGCAACTTGTCCACATCACTGCTATGAATATGAGAATTGGGAGTAAAGATCGGCAACTCGTAACTCATTGTGTTTATCTTGTCTTCCTGCAGTCCGGGGGGAATCCCAGCTCGTAATGCCAAGGGTGAACGACTGCTGCTTTACCTCGGGATCATAGACATCCTGCAGTCTTTCAGGCTGAAGAAACGACTTGAACATACCGTCAAGTCGATGGTTATAGATGGGGTGAGTGCTTTTTTAAAACTGATTTATTGAACAGGCTAACCTAACACCAATTTCAGTTGTTCTTACACCAATTTCAGTTGACCTAACACCAATTTCAGTTAACGTAACACCAATTTCAGTTAACGTAACACCAATTTCAGTTAACCTAACACCAATTTCAGTTGATCTCACACCAATTTCAATCTGTTATGAACAATCAAATTAATATTCTTCTCAAAACTTACAGTAGATTGACTTGAAAGTAAATACAACTAAAATTGAAACAGTAACGCAGGACAGTAGAATTTCTAGTCCGCTACATATAGGGTTGAATACTTGTCTGAAGCAAGTCAAAGAATTTAAATATCTAGGAAGTATGTTCTGGGAGGACAGGGCAATAGATTCGGGAAAAGAAATAATATGCTATTAATTCAAGCCAATGCACTTATGTACTAATTACGCTGTTATATAGAAATCCAAACATAAGTAAGACACTTCACACACACACACACACACCCACCTACCCTCTTCTCCCCTCCAATCCAAATATAAGTAAGACACCCCCTCCCCCATCCAAACATAAGTAAGACACTTCACACACACCCCACCCCCTACCCTCTTCTCCCCTCCAATCCAAATATAAGTAAGACACCCCCTCCCCCATCCAAACATAACGTAAGACACTTCACACACACACCAAACACCCACCACCACGCACGCTTCTCCGCACCAATCAAATATAAGTACGCACGACGCACCCCTCCCCCACACACCAAACATAAGTACCACACACTTCACACACACCCACACCCCTCTTCTCCCCTCCAATCCAAATTATAAGTAAGACACCCCATCCAAACTTAAGTAAGACACTTCACACCCCCCCCTTCTCCCCTCCAATCCAAATATAAGTAAGACACCCTCTCCCCCATCCAAACATAAGTAAGACACTTCACACACCCCCACCCCTTTCTCCCCTCCAATCCAATTATAAGTAAGACACCCTCTCCCCCATCAAAACATAAGTAAGACACTTCACACACCCCCACCCCCTTCTCCCCTCCAATCCAATTATAAGTAAGACACCCTCTCCCCCATCCAAACATAAGTAAGACACTTCACACACCCCCACCCCCTTCTCCCCTCCAATCCAATTATAAGTAAGACACCTCCTTCCCCCATCCAAACATAAGTAAGACGCTTCACACACACACACACCCTCTTCTCCCCTCCAATCCAAATATAAGTAAGACACCCCCTCCCCATCCAAACATAAGTATGCCTCCTACCCCTTTCCAAAAAAACCCAAAACGCAATAAAATATAAACAAGCATATTCATACCAACACTGTGCTACCAGTGCCAAACTTAGACATTATCAAAGGTTAACCTCTGTGAAATAACGCCAGTGAAATGAGACACCCGAGGGAAGCTGCCAGCTCAACCATCGAAGACAAATTTACAAAGAATATTGTATATTGATTGGGAACAACACTACACTATGCACCAGATTAATTGAGACACAGAAGATGAAATGATTTGGTCCTATACTAAGAATGCAGCCAGAACAAATTCCTACACAGGTGTTACACATAAAAAGTTCTGATGTGAAAGCAAGAGGTCACCCTAG